ATAATAGAGAGATTTTACCTGACCCATGAAACAGACAATAAACAGCTACAATTTAGAAGACAATAGAAATAATGCATGATAGCGTGTACCATTCTACTACCTGTTTCATCGGTTGAGTAGAATCACTATATTACAAAAAACATATGATAAAGAATAAAGCAAAATGTTCTTTGCGGAACCCCTAAAATCATACTTTTCTCTGGGCTTGGGTGTGTGTGTGTGGTTGCCAGCCACGTCAAACCCCGCACAAAGCATTTTGATCTCATCTTTTGCTGACTACTTTCATCTTTTCTTACTCTGCTCTACTCTTCAACCCTGGTCTTATTTTCAACTATATTCGACAGTTGATTTGATAATGTCCAGTTGATAAGATGTTAAAAGAAATGGGGATTTTAGACACACAAAGAAAGGGCACGATTGGAATAGAAATGCATCTGCCACTGGTCATGTGGTAATACTGGGCTTACATAGTGGAAATACAGGGCGAGGTCATGACTTGAATATTTATTTTATGTCTTCATTCTTTTACACAGGTTTCTTCGTGGAGTAGCCTACAGAGAGTTTACCCAACTAGTACATGGTTTTCTGGGGGGAAAGCGGATTCCACTGCCAGCATGTGCCTACCATGCAATAAGAACAGAACTTTCAGAAGAGAATGAAGAATTTGTTGGTTTTGAAGATAATGAATAAAGATATTGCCTTTATGACCATCATTATTTTAAAATGCAAATAGAGTCCATTGACAAATTTTATACTAGTTTGGACTAATATTGACTCAAAACATCAGCTGATTACACAGAACCTATCTGTATATTAATTATCTACAGTGTAACTTGAAATAATGGTGATGAAAATCTCTCCCAGTTTGTATTAAGCAATTACCAGGCAACTTATTGACTTTGCCTCAAAATAAAAATAAAAAGGTCCACTATCACTCTCCACTGTTTTGTCGTGCCTGGTTCCTTGGACAATCAACTAGAAGGTTGTGCCCTCTCATGGGTCTTTTGCAAACAGTGCAATTCCTTGCTCTTCTTCCACGTGATGACTGTGCTGTAGCTGCAGCTGCCTCTTGGGCAAGAACAACAGATACTGCAAGCAAAATAGGAAAAATGTATTTAGCCCACCTTCATTGCTGATAAAATGATAATAATAGGTAACAACAATAATAATGATAATAATAATAATGGAAACTTTATTTGTGTTTTTGAATGTACAATTGTTAATCTCGCTACGTATAGGCAATTTACAAATGCTGCTTGAGATTGGATTATTAAAAAGAAAAAAACAAAGAAAACAGAAACCACACAAAACAAAAGCCAAAAAAAAAAAAGAAATCAAAATTGCATTAAGTCTTGGCTATCCCATTTCTACAACAAAAGATGTAATATGTTGCTCTAATGGCTATATTTATCATTTTCTTGATTATAACAGTAATATTGATAATAATAAAAATCCCTAAATGTCCAGAAAAAAAAAGATTTTCCCAAAGAAAAAAGTGACTTGAGAGGGGCAGAAGGCTCAGTTAGCCTCAGATAGGGATGACTGTGTTCTAACAGGACAGGGTGACCCC